GATGGTCCCTCTCAGCTGTGGAGTCTGCTGGCGGGCTCTCCTTCTCCGGAGGTTTCCAAGCAGAGGCTCGATGGCCCCCTGACGGCCGTGCTGATTCTGTGAACGGAGGCCGATCAGGAGAGGGAGGGCAGGGAGGGTTCCCTCTAAGCTGAGTTGGTGTGAGCCAGCTCACAGTTTTTTAGCCTCCGGCTCACACCTTTTTGTCTCAGCTCCGGAAGGAGGGCTCCGGAGCCAACTAATTTATGCAGCAGCCAAATCGCTCGCTCATAACTTTAACGCCAGTAGCTCACAAAGGAGAATTTTTGCTCACGAGACTCCACAGCTTAGAGGGAACACATGAGTGCTTCGTTCTCGTGACCCTTTCTGACACGTCCAGGGAAATGCCGATGGCCACTTTGGGGGGTCAGGAAGCCATTCTTCTCCAGGCCCGATCGGCTGAGGATCCTGGAGGGGTTTTTTGTTGTCTTCTGGGCATAGAACAGGGATCATTGGGTGGGGTATGTGGTGAGGGTCAATGTTCCCTCTAAGCTGTGGAGTCTTGTGAGCAAAAAATCTACTTTGTGAGCTACTGGCATTAAAGTGGTGAGCGAGCGATCTGGCTGCTGCATAAATTAGTTTGCTCTGGAGCCCTCCTTCCTGAGCGAAGACAAAAATGTGTGAGCCGGAGGCTGAAAAACTGTGAGCTAGCTCACACTAACTCAGCTTAGAGGGAACACTGGTGAGGGTATTTGTGAATTCCCTGCATTGTGCAAGCTGGGGGTTGGACTAGATGACCCTGGAGGTCCCTTCCAACCCTGTGATCCCTCTTTGGTTCTCTTTGCAGGCGTTACAGAAAGCCAGCCAGACCATCTCCGAGATCCGTGAGACGCAGCTCTGGTGAGCGGCCTCTGACTCTTTGGAAGACTCGTTCAAAGCCACACCACTATTTCCTCAGCCTGCTTGAGTCTCCGGGGGGGGGGGGAAGGCCAGAGCTTTGGGCTTCTGCACAAACAAGAGCCCTTTTTCTGCGGCTGGAGCCACAGAGTCACTGCCTTGGAACCCTCGCCTGTGCCCCCTCCCCCCTGACCAGTCTTTTGTGCATATCGTCCTTGCTGGATCGCAACTTATTTAATGGTGGTGGTACACAGTTCGAATCCCCCCCCTGCACATAACTGCTTCCTTCAGTTGCTGGGTTAGGCCCAATCTTTGTTCGTGACAGTTCCCCCCTCCCCTGGTCCGGGGGGTGGGGTGGGGGCTTCATGGGTCTGTTCCTCCACCTCCCCAAATCCTGGGGCATGTCGTGGAAGTATGAAATGTTGTCCGTTACGTCTCTGCCCGAGTCCCTGAACCGAAGCCGGTTTGTGAGAGCGTGTGCGTCCCTCCAGCTGAATGTTTGTATATTTCGTTCCTGTGCAGTGTGGAGAGAGAGGGTGACTGGGTAAAGGCTGCCTGGGTGGGGCCAGAGCGAGAGGGTACAGCGCCGGCCGCCTCCTTCGCACGGGGTTCCTGCTCTCACCCTCACCTAAGAGCCATGTGCAATAGCGTCACTGCCTGATTGTGAAAGGGAATTGCGCAATGCTGCCTGGTTGTGAATGGGAACGGCACAATTCCCCTGTCTGCATGCGGGTGCTGGGCTCGGCCTGTGAGTGTCGCAAAATAAAATTGTCTCCCGTTGTAGCCATGTCGCTGTGTGCGTATTACTGAGTGGGGAGAGCTTCAGCCTCACACCCAGGTACATCCCCCGGTACCGTAGTGCTTGGGCAGTAGTCCCCTTGGCGGCTAGTGGCAGGGCTGTCGGAGTTGGAGCCAGCCTGGCCCCGTGGTTAGTGTTGGACTAGGACCTGGGAGACCTGGGTTCGAATCCCTCCTCTGCTGTGGAAGCTCGCTGGGTGACCTGGAACCAGTCGCACGTTCTCTATTTCGTCTCCCTCATAGAGGAGGAGGAGGAGGAGATCGGGTTTACGCACGTTCTCTATTTTGTCTCCCTCATAGAGGAGGAGGAGGAGATCGGGTTTATACCCCGCCTTTCACTGCCTGAAGGAGTCTCAGAGCGGCTTACAAACTCCTTTCCCTTCCCCACCACAGATGCCCTGTGAGGTAGGTGGGGCTGAGAGAGCTCCTTCAAGGACTGCTCTTGAGAGAACAGCTCTGAGAGAACTTGTGGGTGACCCAAGGTCACCCAGCAGCTGCATGTGGAGGAGTGGGGAATCACACCCGGTTCTCCCAGATTAGAGTCTCCACTCCTAACCATTACACCAAACTGGCTCTCTGGGGCTGTTGTGAGAATGAAAGGAAAGGGTGGGAGACCCAGGTTCAAATCCGTGGTCTGCTGTGAAAGCTCGCTGGGTGACCTTTGGCCAGTCACCTGCACTCGGCCTAACCTACCTCACAAGGTGGTTTTTGTGAAGATAAAACAGAGGAGAAGGATGGGGGCTGCTTCGTGGAGAACAGTGAGGCATAAATGAAGCAGAATAAATGAAATTTGTTAAAGATCCTATGTTTGGGCCCTCAAATCCTGCCTCGAGAAGACCTGAAGGGCTGGTCCTGTGTAAATAATGTCAGCGTAAGAAAGCCTGGGATGTCTCTGCCTCTTGTCATTTTCTTTGGGGTGGTGGACAGTGTCTGGGTTTTACTCATTTGGGGTGGGGGGCAGGAAGAAGAAGAGAGAAGAAGAGATTGGATTTATTCCCTGCCCTTCACTACCCAAGGGAGTCTCAGAGCGGCTTACAAAGTCCTTTCCCTTCCCCTCCTCTCCCCACAACAGACACCCTGTGAGGTAGAAGAAGTGATTGGATTTATACCCCGCCCTTCACTACCCAAGGGAGTCTCAGAGCGGCTTACAAAGTCCTTTCCCTTCCCCTCCTCTCCCCACAACAGACACCCTGTGAGGTAGAAGAAGTGATTGGATTTATACCCCGCCCTTCACTACCCAAGGGAGTCTCAGAGCGGCTTACAAACTCCTTTCCCTTCCCCTCCCACCTTGTGAGGTAAAAGAGGAGATTGGATTTATTCCCCGCCCTTCACTCCCCGAAGGTGTCTCAGAGCGGCTTACAAACCCCTTTCCCTTCCCCTCCCCACAACAGACACCGTGTGCGGTAAAAGAAGAAGAAGAGATTGGATTTATACCCCGCCCTTCACTACCCGAAGGTGTCTCAGAGCGGCTTACAAACTCCTTCCCCTTCCCCTCCCCACAACAGACACCCTGTGAGGCAGGTGGGGCTGAGAGAGCTCTTTCGAGGACTGCCCTTGAGGGAAGAGCTCTGAGAGAACTTGTGGCTGACCCAAGGTTGCCCCAGCAGCTGCATGTGGAGGAGTGGGGGATCAAACCTGTTTCTCCCAGATCAGCGTCCGTGCCCCTAGCCACTACACCGAACGTCGAGAAGGCCCAAGGCTGTGTCCTGACAGTCTCACTCGTTAGACATTCTTTCCCGTCCCTTGCACATTTGCTGTGTGTCGCACTCCTTGTCTGTGCCAGTGTGCCTGTTCCTTCAACACCTCCGCCAGTGAGACACTTCTCTCCCCTTTCTTTGGGAAGCTGAATTGTGCTGCGGCAGAGGTAGAGGTCCCCCCCCCCCCGTAGATGGGTCCAAGTCACTGAATAGGGATGGTGAACAATCAAGGACGCGGGCTGAAGGTGTTGCCTTTAACAACGTTGTGACTTGTGTCTTCTTGGGGGGTGGGGGGAGCTTTGTGTTACTTTCCCCCCCCACCTCTTCAGTGCTCTGCTGCTTCCATGGTTCAGTTTGCTGACCTCCAGGAGGCACCTGGAGATCCCTCGTTATTAACCGTTGCTCCCCCAGGTGACCAGGATCAGTTCCTAGGGTTGCCAATCTCCAGGTAAGTGGCTGGAGGTCTCCCGCTATCACAGCTGTTCTCCAGGTGACAGAGGTCGGTTCCCCTGGGGAAAATGGCTGCCTTGGAAGGTGGACTCCGTGGCATCGGACCTTGTTGAAGTCCCCATCCTCCCCAAGCCCTGCCCACCTTATGCTCCACCCAGGGCTCCCTCTAAGCTGTGGAGTCTTGTGAGCAAAAATCCTACTTTGTGAGCCACCGGCATTAAAGTTGTGAGCGAGCTGTTGGGCTCCTGCATAAATGAGTTTGCTCTGGAGCCGTCCCTTCCTGAGCGAAGACAAAAAGGTGTGAGCCGGATGCTAAAAAAACTGTGTGCTAGCTCACACTCACTCAGCTTAGAGGGAACCAGAGGTCATTTCGGGGGGGATCGCAGTTCCCCCGGGTGAGGTATGGGGGCGGGGCACATGACGAAGCCCCGCCCCCTGCTTCCGGCCGCCCCGCTTCCGGCCCTCATTCAGCCAGGAGGAGGCAGGAGAAGAGGGAGGGTAAGTTGCTTCCTCCCTGCCTCTCCCCATCCCTGCCTGCCTGGGGCCAGGGAGGGCCTTGGCGGGGCTTCCTTGCACTCCCGTCAGCCTTGCAGGTCCACCGCCGGGCCCCTGATGTCAGGGGGTGTGGCATATGCTAATGAGTCCCCCTAGCTCTTTTTCTATGAAATGACCCCTGGAGGGAACACTGGGCTCCACCTCTAACATCTCCAGGGATTTCCCAGCCCAGAGCTGGCAACTGTATCTTTGGAGGGTGGACTCTGTGGCATTATCCCAGGCCTGTAGCTACATTGGGGTCTTTTGGGGGCTCTGCCCCCTTTCTGAAAGGCACAGCCCCAGAACAGTTTCTACTGTAAAGGCTTTTTTCCAATCATTTAAAGCATTTTTTAAAGGCGCATGCTCCTTTAAGCAGAGTGGGGTGCTGTAGCTGACTGATTCCCACACTGAGCAAGGTGTGTGTGTGGAGTAGGTGACCTCTAGGGTCCCTTCTAAGTCTGCCTCAAGAAACTTATCCTTTGAGAGAGTTTTTCTGCCTAAGTGTTGGCTTTCTTCACTGTTGAAGTCACACACACCCCTTGCTGGCTTGTTCCCAGAAGTTGCTTAGGCTGGTACTTACTTTGTAATCCTCCCCCCCCCCCCCCCCTTGTTCTCAGAAGTTGCTGAGGCCGGTAGAAGTGATTAACTTGCAGCCGCTGAGAACTGTCATCTAACAGTGGTGGACAGCTTGCAGTTTAGAGGCCTGTCCTGGTAACGGCTTTCTATTGGCTGAATGGCGTTTCTTTCTGCACTGACAACTTTGGCCCCACCAGAAAGAAAAGTTGTCCCACAAGCCCCAAAATCCTGGCTAAGGGCTTGCATTATACCCTGCTGAGGTCCCTCCCCTCCCCAAGCTCCACCCCCCCCAAATCTCCAGGTCTTTCCAACCCAGAGCTGGCAACCCTACAGGGTGTGTGTGTGTTTTCCTGCTTGGTCCCTTTCCCATCCCTTGACACACACACACACACCGGCCTCCGAACCCAGCACCGGAGCCAAAGAACACACGAGACGCAGTCACTTCTTCACACAGCAAGGACAGTTAGTCAATTTATGAAGCATCAAATATACAGTTTCTTATGTACAAAGTGGACCAGAGTTTTTGTTTTCCTGGGGGGAGGGGGGGAAGTGGGAGAGAGGTGTAAAGGAACCAAAAATACAGTCAAGTTTGGAGACTTCTAGCCCTGAGCTCCAGGAGGCGAGGCGGTGGGGCCCGTGGGTGGGGCGGCCCCCTCCTCTTGCCCGTAGAGGCCGATATTTATAATATATAAGTATATACATGGGAATCTCTGTACAGCAACAAACCCGACACGGGAAATGCAGTGCAGGGTGAGGGACAAAGTGCATGCTGGCATGGGGGGGGGGGACAGGGGGGGAAGACCTGATAGGAAGGGGGCGGAGTGGTGGTGGGGAGGTGGAACAGGAGCAACCTCAGCTGAACCATCACCTTGAAACTGCAGGCCGGACTCCTGGGTTCCCTGGCAGGCTGCAGAGGGGGGAGAAACCGAGGCCTGGAACTTGGAAGTCCGGGCGTGGAGACGGTAGTGAGCTCCCAGAACAGGCAATCGGCGCCCCTCCCCCTTTTAAAAAACTCCCCGTGCCACTACGGTCTAGAAGGTTTTGCCCTGAGCCTCCTCTCTTCAGAGCTGTCGTCCCTAAACCGGCGAGGCGCACGAGAATGAAACCGGGAAACCTGAATGTGCCTGTGTGAGACATGAATGACAAAAAGTTGGGAGGCTCCGGCTGACTGGAAGGAAGCCATCTCTTTGATTTTGAGCCTTTCTGGGAGCTTTGGGGGGGGGGGGTGGCGACACGGGAGAGCCTTCCGCTGCTCTGTACGAGTCACTGCTCAGGAGAACCTGCCGCAACTCTGCATGAGTCACTGAGCTGGCGCTTTTTATTTAAAAACATTCTCGTTCTACCAGAAGCAGTTTGGGAAACACTGCTGCCATTATGCATTTAAAATAAACTCATTCCCTCCCAAATCAACAGCAATGCGTGACGGGGCATTGCTTCCTTTGTTTTATTTTTAAAAAAATCCTAAAGCAGCCTTGCCCCAAGGCCTTGAGACTTAAAAACCGAGGACCCCCCCTGCCTTGCCACCAGCCTCTGACTAGCCAGGGTAAGGTAACGTGTCTGGGGTCGGGCCCGCCTCAGCCTGCCGATTGGGTCCAGGTCAAGAGATCCTGTCTTTTTTTCAAGAGGGAAGGGAATCGGGGAGTAAAGTGCATCTGAGCTCAGGAACTGGGAGGGAACGGGGTTCGTGGCTCTGCTCCCACGAGGAGAAACTGAGGGCGGCAAAAGAGCGTGGCTGGATCCATCCCGCCCACAACGCCTTCTTCTCCAATTGGGGGGGATGAGGGTAATCGCAGAGGCAATCAGCCCCCCCCAATTGGTTCAGTGCAAACCCTGGGGTGGGGCAGGTGGGTGGGTGGGGAGCGGAATAAGAATAGCCCTTTATGAATAAGAACTGGGAGGGCGAGAGAGAGAGACCCCCTTCCCGACTCCCCCTTTCTGCAAGAATAGTTAGGACCTTAACCCCTGGCTCCCCGGCCCCCTTTTCTTTAATGTAAACAGCAGCACATCACAAACGTGCAAATTAAAAAGGGGAAGCCTCTTGTCTCCCCACCCCACCCCTGCCCCAGAGGCATTAGGGAGCAGAGGTGTCACCCCCCCTCCCAGTTGCTCTCCAGAAGGAGCGAGGCAACAAGCAAGGGGGGGGCACCAGGAAAGGCAGGGGTGGTGGTGGGGGGAAGAGGCTACATCAGACGATTACAAAATACTGTCTTCCAGAATGGGGGTGGGAAGTCCTTCTTGGTCCTCACAGGGATGGGGATATTTCGTGCTGGAAGCAATCCAGAAAGCCAAACACCAAACATGCAAGCGGCTTGAGAAGGGAGTAACTTGGGCGGGTGTCCTGCCCTCCCTCTGCAGAGCATGGTGTTGGGGAGACACAAGGCTCCGCCTGCAGAGGCCAAGTCCTTGGGGGAAACCGCCCCCTCCCTTTGCAGGGGGAGGGGCGCCCTGTGGAATAGGAACACCCGGGCAAGGTCGTCACACTCAAGCCAAAACATCTGCACAACCATCAAAGCCGGCAACTGCTAGGCATGGAGGAGGGGGTCCGTCTCCCCTCCCTGCCGTTTCATGCAACCTCGAGATATGCGCAGAACGAAGACAAAGCTGACCTGCAGTGCTGCCGAACAGCTGCTGGGTGGTGGCAGCGAAAGGGGGAAAGTGCCATTGGCATCTCAGTGGAGTCTCTTTCCCCTTCGAGCCCCCCTTCTCCCAGTCACTTTTTGTTCCAGAACCAGCTGGTGGGAGTGACTTCGGAGAGGGGGTGGCAAGGGGGAGGGAAGGGTTAAATATTAACCCTCTCCCCGGCTGCCTGGGCCTTCCCAACCTTGACTGTCAAAATCTCTAAATTTGGCCCTGAGTTCTTGCAAGTCTTTCCTGCGGCCCGTGAAGAAAGGGCGACCCGAGGCCCCTGGGGATTCACCCACTGGTGGGTCTACAAATGCACAGTGGGTCAGACCCGTCTTCTGTGGCAGCCTTTCCACCGCACAGGGAAGTAAAAGGAAGCTGTCTGGAGGAACTGAGTGCCAGTCTCGCACGAAGCAGGGCCTACCGGAGGCAGCAGGGGGAATGCACTCCACGCCGAATCCCCTGGATATGTGCAATTCCTTACAATACAAGGAAGAGGGCAGAAAAATGGCACCTGCAGGTACGGTCATTGGCACAGAGAGCCCTCAGGGTGTGGGCGAGAGGCACCCTGCTCTCCCACCATGCCGAGGGCCTGCTCTGTGGCCGATCAGGCAGAAGCCTTTGTTCGCACCCTGGGTCTCTGCATAGCCAAGGATGATGGCCTTCCCACTAGGTCTCTGGTCAGACCAGGGATGGCCCAGGAAACAATTTTTCATGGCCAAGGCTCGCTCCTGCAGTTGAGGGACAGCGTAGTGATTGCTGACTCAAAAATGCATCCAGCGAAGCTCTGTTCCCACGCAGCCCAAAGGGGATGGGCCCGAACTCGGGCTCATGCAAGGCCCAGCTTTCCAAGTGTAATTGCGGGGCAGGCCCGGCTTCGTCCACACAGCTTCAGGGGAATCCGAGAAGCACAACATGCTTCCTGTCAGGCCCGGGGAAGAGTTCAGGGTGGGACCAAAACCAGCCGGATTTCTCCTGCCCAGGAGCTGGAAATGCAGCCCCGAAGGGACGGGAGACGTCTCCCCTGGCACTCTCCGGCTTTGTTTGTGACATTCGTGCTACCTGAGTTCATGGGCAAAGAAGTTCCGATTGCAACGGGGGCGACCGGATCACTTGGAAAAAGCTGTGTGGGATCAAAACAAAACCGAGAGGGCTTTCCTTGGTCAGAAAGCAGTGCCCGACTGCTCGTCAGAAAGCAGTGCCCGCTATGGAAATGTGATGCACGGAAGCCGGCTGCTGGAACGTTCACCTTGACAAGGGCCCCTCATCGGACGGAGGGGAGCACAAGTCCGGCCGCAAAAGAAATGGCTGGCTGGTGAGGGGCCCTCCTCCGTGCCGGAGACACCCCGGGAAAATGCCAGCAAGCAAAGGTGCGGAATCCAGCTTACAATTCTCTCGGCGCATTCGAGACTTCCAAATGACACAGGCCACTAGCATCTACATGCTGCTTCGCACAAGCAATGGGTGGTGTGCTGTAACTGTTTCTAGAGTGTACCACTTCAGACTGGGGGTGGGTGGGGGGAATGCTGGACTATAACAGTATCAGCAAGTCTGCGTTGTGATGGTCTCCCCAAGAATATATGATTCCCCCTCTAATCTGTAATGATTCAGTCCAGGATCAGTTTTACCACCTCACAGACCGTTCGCTCGAGCTCGGGTCTATGCGCTCTGGCCCTACGCCAAACCATTTCCTTCTGTGGCACACTGAACAAATGGCCCCAATGGGAAAATTCTGTGTGCGAGAGCAACGCCCCTTCGCTAGCACACGTCGAAAAAGGGAGTTCTGCATCCATCATTAAAAAACACACACACACACACACACAAATCCTGCTTTTGCCCAGCAAAACTGTCCGTACGCATCTTCCAACCAGAAGGGGAGAAAGGCGGGTTGGGGCCCCCCACGCATCAAAGCCCGGACGCGACACTGGCGCCCCCCTCAGGTCACGACCGGCGTCGCAGGTCCGGAGGTCTTCCTGTCGGAGCTGCTCCCAGAGGCGCCCCCCTCTCAGTCCTGATCCTGGGAAAAGAGGGACGGGAGGAGGTGTGGGGAGGAGGACGGGGTAATGCGCATAAAAGTCTAGACACCCTCCTGACCCCCCCCCAGCCCTGCCCCACCGCAACGACTGGGGAGGGCGGTCGGGGGGGGAGGCCCCT